TGGGGGCGGGGCCATGGTCTGGGGGAGGGGCTGTGGGGGCGGGGCCATGGCCTGGGGAGGGGCTCTGGGGGCGGGGCCACAGGAGGGGCTCGGGCAGGGGGCGGGGCCGGGGTGGAGCTATGGCTCTGTGGGCGGAGCTAATGGGGGCCCGTCCACAGCAGCTGGGAGTGCCCACACTGGGTGGGCGTGTCTGGGGCCGAGTGGGCGCATCCACACACAGGTGGGCGTGTCCACACGCAGGTGGGCGTGTCCAGACATAGGTGGGCGTGTCCAGACATAGGTGGGCATGTCCACACACAGGTGGGCATGTCCAGACATAGGTGGGCATGCCCAGACATAGGTGGGCGTGTCCACACACAGGTGGGCGTGTCCAGACCCCCGGTGGGCATATCCGGAGCTTGGTGGGCATGTCCAGAGCAGGGTGGGCATGTCCAGAGCAGGGTGGGCATGTCCAGACACCGGTGGGTGTGCCCAGAGCAGGGTGGGCGTGCCCAGAGCAGGGTGGGCGTGTCTTACCGTGGCACTGGTGCCCGTCGGCGCCCAGGACGAAGCCGGGCCGGCAGCGGCAGTGGAAGGAGCCGAAGGTGTTGAGGCAGCGCTGGGAGCAGCGGGCGCCCATGGAGCACTCGTCCACGTCTGGGGGGCAAGGGGGACTTGGGGAGTGGGCTTGGGGGGTGTCACCTCTCCCCAGCCCTCCAGGGCCCACTGGGAGTGGGGGAAATCCTCCCCCCCGTGTCTGAGGGTGCCCCGGGGGGGTCACGGTGGTTTGGGGGGGGTCTGACCGAGGCAGGAGCGGCCATCGGGGCCGAGGCTGAACCCGGGGTGGCAGCGGCAGGCGAAGGCTCCGGGGGAGTTGGCGCAGCTGTGCTGGCACCAGCGGAACTGGCACTCGTCCTCATCTGCCCCAGAAACACCCAAAATTACCCCAAAATAACCCATAAACACCTCCTGGAACCCACACCCAGCACTTGTCCTCATCTGCCCCAGAAACACCCAAAATTGCCCTAAAATAACCCATAAACACCTCCTGGAACCCACACCCAGCACTTGTCCTGATCTGCCCCAAAAACACCCAAAAATACCCCAAAATAACCCATAAACACCTCCTGGAACCCACACCCAGCACTTGTCCTGATCTGCCCCAAAAACACCCAAAAATACCCCAAAATAATCCCATAAACAACTCCTAACGCCAAACCCGCCCCATAGAGCCCCCCAGCCCCCCCCCAGCCCCCCAGCCCGCACTGACCCACGCACTCGGTGTGCCGGTGCCGGTAGCCGGGGGGGCAGCGGCACTCGAAGCCCCCCGGGACGTTGATGCAGTCCTGGCTGGGCCGGCACGGGGGGGGCCCCGCGCACTCGTCCACGTCTGGGGGGGCACAGCGGGGACAGAAGCAGCAGGACCCCCCCAGACCCCTGGGGTCACCCCCTGCCCCTGCAGGGACCCCCAAAATCCCCCCCTCCCACTCTGCCCTTCCCCGTGAAATCCTCCCGGGGCGGCCCCACCCTCCCAGACCACGCCCCCACCCCTCCCTTTAGCCCCGCCCACAAACCGACTCCACTCACTCTGCTCGGCCCCGCCCACATATTTGCATATCATAACCACGCCCCTCGCTTTAGCCCCACCCACGAATCGGCTCCGTCCACTCAGCCCCGCCCACCTACTTCCATATCAATATCCACGCCCCTTCCTTTAGCCCTGCCCACAAACCGGCTCCACCCGCTCCCTCTGCTCAGCCCCGCCCACCTATCTGCATATCATAACCACGCCCCTCTAACCCCTCCCACAAACCGGCTCCACCTGCTCCCTCTGCTCAGCACTATCCACCTATTTGCATATCGTAACCACGCCCCTCCCTTTAGCCACGCCCACAAACCGGCCCCACCCACTCCCTCTGCTCAGCCCCGCCCACCTATCTGCATATAATAACCACGCCCCCCGCCCCGCTGGCCCCGCCCCCCTCACCTGCGCAGGCGCCGTCGGGGCCGGGGCTGAAGCCGGGGGGGCAGCGGCCGTCGGGGTCGGTTCGGGGCGGGGCCGGGGGCGGGGCCGGGGGCGGGGCGGGGGCGGGCCCGGGGGCGGGGCTGAGCAGCGCGGCCGAGCGGGGCAGGCACAGGTACCCCCCGAAATGGTTCAGGCACTTCATGGAGCCCCGGCACGGCGCCGGGCCCTCCCCCGCGCACTCGTCCACGTCTGGGGGGGCCGGGGGGGCGCTGAGAGGGGACCCCCCCTCAAACAGCCCCCGAACGACCCCCGGGGGGGCCCCGAGAGCTCCCCAAAAACTCCATCCAAAACGCTGCCCGGGACCCCCGGCCCCTGCTCCCCACATCCCCTGAGAGGGGCCCCGACACCCCCTGGAACAGCCCCGGACCCCCCCCCAAACCCCCCCGGGGAGGGGACACCGGGAAGGGACCCCCGAGAGAGCTTTGCGCCCCCCCCAAAACATCCCCGAGGGGAGCGGGACCCCCGAACACCTCCCACGGACCCCGGGACCCCCCAGAACCCGAGGATCTTCCCCCACCCCCCCAACACCGGGGGGCTCCACACCCC